ATATTTATAAATATCATGGTAACTTTTGAACATTTATTAAGAATGATTCTTTTTTAATAGTTTAGATATGCCACTCTCTTCTTAATGCTATATTGTTAAGTACCGAACCAATCCAACAAGCTTCTAACCAAATACCGAAGCTAAACCAGCCTCCTGAAGGTTATTAACCTTAAATTTAGCATTCAATTTTCTCATTAATTTGGCTATAAAACGTTTATCCCTCTCTCACCAATCATGTAGTTTCATATTGCCTGATTAATTTAAAAATCTCAGTGCTAAATTGCACAACTATGAAGGAATCGGATTTTTTTTCTCACCAATTATATACTAGATTACTGGCTTAGAGCATCTTCAATAAGACTATATTTTTTTATCTTTAAAAACTCTATTTTTAGAATAAAATTACTTCTAATGATACTCTATATTATATTCTAAAAATAGAGATATCTATTTCTAACTCCAGATTTGGAATCACAAATTAAGATTTCTATTTTTTAAAGTATAACTTTTCTAATTAAAAAATAATCTTTGATATTTTTATTATTTATTTAATAAAAACTATATGTTTTATTTTACACTTAGATAAAACTATACCAATGACAACTAATTAAAATATTTAAATGCAAGATATAAAATTAAAATAATATGATAAATGATGCAAAATGCTTTCTGTGATAAGTATTTAATCGAAATCAAAATTTTATTTTACTTGTGTTAAAGCACATAAAATAAATTGTTAAAAAGTTTATACTTGTAAAAAAAAGACCTATAAAAATTAACAACTAAATAAAAAATAGAATATAATAAAAAAATTTAGAGTTAAAAATAAAGGTAACCATTATAATAAACTACTCTATATTTTTAGAAATTTTTATATTTAGAGTAAAAAAAGAAGTAACCATTAGATATAGTCTTAGATAAAATATTACATAATTTTGAAACCAAATTGGATGTGGAATACAATCTTTGATCGTTAGAGCCTCCTAAGTTGGATTTTTAAAAACAAATAGCTTTCTTTAATATTTTTATATTGCATAACTAAGAAACCATTTCGTATTTTGACTGTTTTTTATTTGTCGTTTTCTCGTATTTTTGAGTGTCAAAGGGGCCATAATTAAGTTAGATCAACAAAAAGAAATTATTTTATTTGGTAATAATTAATGATAATTTATAGTATATAGATAGATAAATAAAAAGAGAGAAAAAGAACATTCAAGAGATGCAAGGATAGAAGAAGCTTCTCTCGTTGATGTTCTCTTGCTTGGCATCGGGCTGTTCTTGTTTTTGTTGATCGTTTGCTCTGATCCTTTCAGATTTGGTTTGCGTGTTTGTGGACTTACTTCTTTTGTGATGTAATTTAGTCTTTGTTTGGGTTTAGTTTTCCTTTTGTAGGCTTATGTTTCTGGTGTGTGTCCATTGATCAATGACAACTTAAATATATTATGATAAAAAGTCACACACCGACTTAAATAAACTATCAATATAAATAAATTCCCAATAACACGCTTTTGAGTTTGGTGCGTTCCAAAACTGATGATAACAACACCAAGTCACACCATACGTGTAGTGGGAGACGTATCGCGCTAGTGGTAAGATTGTTTGTTCGTACTTATATGTGAACGTACCGTATATAGTTTAGGGCATAGAACTATCTAATGCATTTACAAATATAGACATAGATTGTTGTTATTATTAATACAATGGAAACGAAGGAAACACAAAACAAACATAATCTTAAACTCAACTATAATTTGACTAACATACAATAAACTAAGGCTCACAATTAGACTCTTGTGTTGGCATATGAACACAATATATATTTTTTTATATGTGGTCAAATGATATTTTGCTTAGTATATAGTAGGTTGAATAAAACAATGGGCCTTCGTGCTTTTGAGAAGTGGAAGGTTATCATCACTCTATCATCCCACGTTTCATACACGCTGTGACTATATTTCTTTTTGTTTTCTTGTGGGGTTTGGTCCGATTCCACAACTTACACTATGAACAAGTGTGAAAGAATATTATTTTTTCTTCCACTCCCAATCTTATCGATCGGTCAAAATGAGTCCACCAAAAACTCCATAATTAGACTCTTTTTCGATCATTTTAAACAAAATTTGAGGTTATCAACGTGCGATAATATCCCCATTTTCGGTTGTACAAACAATATTTAAATGACAAAGACACAAAACTAGATTTGACCAAATCTTGCTATAAATATCGAGCTTCAAAGAAACCCAAACCCGTCAAGTCCTCTCTAATCTTACGCATCTCTCTCCCTTGAAAAAACAAATACTTCACAAAAATGGCAAACTTCTCACAATTAGACTCTTGTGTTGGCATATGAACACAATATATATTTTTTTATATGTGGTCAAATGATATTTTGCTTAGTATATAGTAGGTTGAATAAAACAATGGGCCTTCGTGCTTTTGAGAAGTGGAAGGTTATCATCACTCTATCATCCCACGTTTCATACACGCTGTGACTATATTTCTTTTTGTTTTCTTGTGGGGTTTGGTCCGATTCCACAACTTACACTATGAACAAGTGTGAAAGAATATTATTTTTTCTTCCACTCCCAATCTTATCGATCGGTCAAAATGAGTCCACCAAAAACTCCATAATTAGACTCTTTTTCGATCATTTTAAACAAAATTTGAGGTTATCAACGTGCGATAATATCCCCATTTTCGGTTGTACAAACAATATTTAAATGACAAAGACACAAAACTAGATTTGACCAAATCTTGCTATAAATATCGAGCTTCAAAGAAACCCAAACCCGTCAAGTCCTCTCTAATCTTACGCATCTCTCTCCCTTGAAAAAACAAATACTTCACAAAAATGGCAAACTTCTCCGCCTTGCTCACGATAGCTCTCCTCCTTTGCTCCACGCTAATGTGCACCGCCCGCCCCGACCCAACCTTCTCCGCCTCCATCACGGTTGTTCCGGCCGAACCATGTAACATGGTTAGTCTGATAACACACAAACGTCTATAAGTATGCATGTAGTTATCAAAATGAAAATGCTTCTAAATTTTTCAAAAAATTATAGAACATGTTTAAAGTTTTTGTAGATAGCTTGAGATGTCCTAATGGATGATTTAATTTGGCAGGAAAAGAAGATAGAAGGGAAATTGGATGATGTGGCAGAAGAGAACTGTGGTGCCGACGACGAAGATTGCTTAATGAGGAGGTCTTTGGTTGCTCATCTTGATTACATCTATACACAGAAGCAGAAGAAAAACCTTTGAAATTTCATCACTAATTGTTAACAAATTATTGCTAAAAGGTTACGTAATTCACATTTGTGTGCCATCCTTAAGTAGTTAGAATATATAATCTCTCATATATACTAGAAACATCAAGAATGTTATTGATGGTTGTGAACTTGTGATGGTTATATAAATATATAATTACATTTTACACATATAGCCAAAGATTGTTAAAATTCGGATGTGTGATGGCATTATTATTATTAATAGGAACATCTTCTCAATATTAAATTGGTTGAATGAAAGCCTCTGGATGAGACAGAAGGAACTCACAAAACCCTATCCTCCTCATTCTAAACCCAAAAACACAGAGCTCTGCAAAAAAAGAAGCAAAAATGGTGCTACTTCGATGTCGATCCTTAAGAAATCTCGCTCCTTTACTACCTTCACACTTCCACTCCCACAAATTCCACACAACCCAGTTCTTCCGTACTCCGAATCTCATCTCTATCCCGAAAATCTCAGCTTCGTCTCTCCCCACGAACAGTACAACAACAACGAACCGTTCGATCTCCGATTCGGCTCGATTCGCTCGCTCCGTCCTGTTCGTGCCTCCCGGTGTTGAAATCGAGGAGTTAACGGAGGAAATGGTGCTTCCGGGCTCCAACATCGTAATCGGACCTTTCGCGGGTCATTCCCAGATCAAAGAAGTCGAGTTCGTCAAGAGCAGTGCTCGAGCTAGAGACTGTCCTAAAGACGACCGTCCCGAGATCGCGATTCTAGGTCGTTCTAATGTCGGAAAGTCTTCTCTTATCAATTGCTTGGTTCGTAAGAAGGAAGTCGCTCTCACTTCCAAGAAACCTGGTCCGATTCCCTTAAAAACCTTTGGAATTCGAACAATCTAATTTCTTTTTTAGTTTCGAAACTGAAAAGTTACGATTTTTTTGTTTGTTTTGGAAACAGGAAAGACTCAGCTTATAAATCACTTCTTGGTGAATAAGAGTTGGTACATTGTGGATTTGCCTGGTTATGGGTATGTAATGTTTTATAAATCTCATTCCTTTTGTTGTTTGTTTGGAATGTTGAGAATTTGGTGATTTGTAAACATTTTGCAGATTTGCTAAAGTTTCAGAGGCTGCGAAAACGGATTGGTCTGCGTTTACAAAAGGTTACTTTTTGAACAGAGACACACTTGTTTGTGTGCTTCTTCTGATTGATGCGAGTGTTCCTCCTCAGAAGATTGATCTTGATTGTGCGAATTGGCTCGGTCGCAACAATGTATGTAGCCAATTTGGCTTTTATTTCTCTGTGTGTTGCAAATTCTCAGTTTTGAATGCTTTTTTTTAGGAGTTTCTTGATTTGTGATGTTGTTTTTTTTCAGGTACCGATGACATTTGTGTTTACGAAATGCGACAAAATGAAAGCGGCGAAAGGGAAGAGACCTGATGAGAACATCAAAGCTTTTCAAGAAATCATTAGAAAGAACTTTAAACAGCAACATCCTCCTTGGATCTTGACGAGTAGTGTCTCCGGTTTAGGCAGAGACGAGCTTCTCCTTCACATGTCGCAGCTTAGAAACTACTGGGATCAATAAGGAAATTAACTGTGTTACAAAAAAAAAAGGTCTCTTTGAAAAACTTTGGTTTATGTTAATGTAACAGTAACAATTTCTCTCTTTGTATACATAAACAATCTTTCAAATAGCATTACGAGATTTGCTTGAAAATGGTCATTACAGGTCTCTAATTTCAAGAATGAATCTTTCTACTCTTTTCTTGCTACCATCTTGAGAGATTTGCAGGACTGAGAAGAGGGAAAGCTTCCCAGAATCGAGATGACGACGGTGAAAGATCAGACGACGCGAATGGATTCTCGTTAGCTCTTGTTGTTGTAGTTGTTTCAACAGGAACCTTGAGTGGCTTAGCATCAGCAAGAACCTGTCTCACCTCTGGCTCATGTTCTTGTGCGCCGGTTAACCTCTGAACCAACTCCTTGAAGTTAACAGGCTCGACTCTGTAAACCTTAGGATGCATTCGTTGAAGTGAAGCTGCTACGGGTCTTTTCCATGGCTTTGCAGGTTGCTTTCGGATCGAGAGGTAGTTTTGTGATGGTGTAAGATAACTCTGAGAGAAACATGGCTGTGAAGTAGCTTCCATGGCGACTAGAACTTTCGTTGTAGACAGAGATTGCTCAGGGTTTGAAGCGTTGAAGCTAAAAGCAGTGTCTGTTAATGATGGCTTGTGTGTGTAGATGTATTTATATGTATGTGTGTGTGTGCGCGTTGCATTTATGTCAACGTTTTTCAGCGTGGGTCAAGCGTTTTTATTGGTTGTTTGATCCTATTTTGCGGCTTATATTTGACTTTTAGGGGAATAGTTAAAAAAAAAAAAAATGGGATGATTCATGGAATTGTGAATTTTCAACGTGGGTGTGCTTAATATTTTTATTTTATTGTATTTTAATGTTAGGTGGAAAAGCAATGTGAAGTGTGAACAGCCTTTTTAACACGTGTTTTTTCTTCTTCTGATCTTGAATAATTTTTCAAGATGCAATATACTGTATCTTTTATTTTTGATATACGGATAATAGTCATAATAACACCATTTTTAGTGATAAAATATGCACCACCTGATTTTGTAATTAATTACATAAATTAGCAAATTCGACAAAAAATTGAAATTACTAGTAATCATCGACTTAAAAAGTGTCAATGAATATTTGCCAACTCTATGATTTTTTTTAAAGTACATTTCACTATGTGAAATAATATTAGGAAAATATAAATCACTATTTTACCAAATAAATTCTGAAATTTATCTGGTACTAAAAAAGATGAAAATTCATAATGACAAAATGGCTGGAGGATACAATATTGGGCCGACCTTTTGAAGGCCCAACATTATTTGCAACGTGCATCTTATAATTACATATGTTTTGGGTCCAAAGTCTAAACACTAGTGATTGAGAAATCAAGTGCAATCAAATACTTAGAGTACGAAGATTTTCGCTAAAGTTAAGAAAAAGAAGTGAAAACGAAAAAATCAGAGAATCCCACTCATCATCATGACATGCTCTATGGAAAAGAAAAGAAAGTATAACTAATACAAATTACTGTTTTCTTTAAGCTCATACGCCCTACAATAATCATTAGATTATTCAAAAAGATTCCGCATTATAAACCTTTCAAATCATGGATTATAATAAACTCATATAAAATTAAAAGCAAATCTAAAGGAATTAAAAATAGCAAAAAAAAACCAATAATACATTAACACAGAGAGAGAGAGAGCCACATAGGGAGAACAGTAAAATTTAAAATCACCAGGGCTCATCAGGATAATCGAACGGTACAGGTTGAAGAGGGGAAGTCTTGCCTAGATCCGAGTGTACGAAACCATACCTACGCATCACTTGATTATCAGCGAAATTAATGGCTTTGATCATCCCATTCCAACACGTGTCACCATCGTACATCTTATTATGGTCTCCACTGCAAGGCTGGCATCCCGTGAAATGCGTCACAAACGGCCTCCGTAGACTTCCTTTCCCGCCTCTTTCTCCTCGCAAAAACTTCTCCTCTCTAAACGCAGCGTATCGTTCACTCACTTTCTCCGCGTGTCTCCTGCGCAACGTGGCGTCTTCTCGCTCCATCTCCAGATACCGCTCCGTCACGTTAGCTAAACCCGGTACGATCTCTAACCAATACCCTTCGAAATAATAGTCTCCTTCGAGGTATATCTTAGGATAATACACCTCTCTGTGTTTAAACAGCAGATAAATCAGAGCCGTCTGATCATCTGACTCCGGAAACAGCTTATCTTTAAAAATTGACCGTTGGATCTGTCCCCACTTAGCATACTCAGGACTCACTGGGCCCATACTCGTCCACGTGTCAATCAGCTCCATAGACCACTGACAGTTTCGAATGAGGAAGACGCCGGCGTTTAACGCCGTCCAGCTTCGATCATCGTAAACAACGCCAGGCCAGCCGTGAACGACGAGGTTATGGTTACGGTAACGGCGAAACGGCGGAGTAAAATCCATGTCGGTGAAAAGAGCATCGGAATCAACCCACCAGATCCATTCCGCCTCCGGATGAGCAATCATCGCCGATTTTACCGCCGGAAGTTTCGCCCAAAACGAATTCATCTTCGGGTGAAGAAGCGCGTTGCTGTAGAAGATGTCGTGGCCATGGATTCGACAGTAATCGACTTTGTTTTTGAAGAATCGGAGCAATAGATGGTCTCCGATAGGGTTTTTACAGGGTCCGGATTGTGACCCGGTTACCATAACCGTCCGGTTCTCGGATCCGGGGATAAACGACGGATGCAGCTCTAACCACCGTCTTCGTTTCTCATCCCAGCCTTTAACCGGCTTCTCGATTGTATAACTTAGATCCGGGTCGTCGTAGAAAACCGGGTCGGTTGGATCGTACCGCATATCGATTCCACGAGAACATTTGGTAGACTCTTCGGTTTTGACGGCGGAGAAGCTGAGGTTTGGGGAATTTGAGGAGAAGGCGAAGAAAGACCAGACGAGAACGAGAGACATGAACGCTCCGCCGAGGAAGAGAACGACGTCGGAAAAACAGATGACCGGTCGGTTTCTTGCTCCGGCGTATTTTGCCATCGGAGATGATTGAAAATGTGATGCCTCAGGCGAGACCATTCAGAAGAACATTTACTTGCAAAAATCTGCAATTTTTAGAGATGCTACAATTTCAAAATCGGAGACTTTGTTGTATAAAGGGAATAACTTTTTTTCTTTTACAATGTAACATAAATGCGACATTAATCACTCGCTTGATATATTACTTAAATTGTTTCAGATTTTCCAAAAAGTAAATTTACTCACACTTTGGGAAGATTTGTTTTCGTTTTTGATTGGTATAGGTTTATAACGCCCAATTAAGTTGGTAACTTTATTAGATTATAAATTTATGACTTCATGCAAGAGATAAGGTCAGTAGTCAAAATCCCATGTGATGATAATAATCTGTTTTTGTTTTGGTGAATATGCTGAACCGAATCGGACCGGTTCACCGACACTGCTGCTCAAGTACGATTAAGGATGCCGACTGCCGACGTGTCGGTGTCCGGTTAAGCAACGACACGTGAGTTTTCTGACGATGCTTTTTTTTCCTTTATTTGTTGTCGTTGTCAAAATTTTAACGATAATTTCGGTACAGAATATTACTATCTCACCCGCAATTTCGCCTGAAGGTGTTGAAAATTGCACTGCTTTTTTTTTTTTTTTTTTAATTTTGGTTTTAGCTTATAGTTTATTTATATTGGACCTAGATAGAATTCTTTATACTACTTATACTGTATTCCGAATCCCTAGTCACCAAAGACAGTCTCGAAGAGCATCTCTCTGCCCATCACAATTAATGAGGAGGCAAAAGATTAGATACGAAGCCACCATACAAAGATAATTCAATTTCTTTACAAGAAAAAGAAAGAGAAACTAGAGATTGATCTGCATGTGCAAACTTAAATAGTTTAAAAAATATAATTACATAAATATAATATCTAAATTATTATATTTTTTTTTAACATTTTGTAATATATAAAAATTAGGTAAGTAATTGAATTATGGGATCTAATAATAAAATATAGTATAATTTTAACTATATATTTTATTATAACAAAAGACCCATTTTATTATATTAAAGAGCTAAATGGATCAGATCCGTGGATAATTAGTTGAGTGGGTCACCTGCTACAGATTTACGGGTCAGACTTACAGACTTGCAAATTTCATCATTTTTTTCGTCTTCTATTAATTTTCCTCATTTTATCGAGTGATTTAGCCATCAAACATTACTTCTTCAACGATTTTGCCATTGTTGGTCTCGATCTACTCATAATTCCTATTGATTTCTTCTCAGGATGGCGATCGATCGGAAATTAGAGTGTATCGACATCATATATTTGACTCTAACTTAGCTTTGAATTTCTGGTCAGATACATATAAAACTTTTGAATACAGGTAAATAACTTTCAATTTGCGCTTTCTTCTTTCAATTTTTAGTATCATCTTTTTTAATTACTAAAAGAATCATCTTCTAATTTCCAGAAATAAGCTTATTCCTGTTCTTTTATTATTGTGATCTGATGCTATGAGATGTTCTTGATTGTAATCGATAAGAGATAGTAATCTATTTAGGATTAGAATATGAAGTTTAGATGATAATGTATGTCTCGTGAATGATTCACATGTATTAGACGAAATCATTAGACAAAAGAGGCATGAAACAAACTGAAACTTTGAAAATCTAAGAACATACATTGTTTTAAAAGACAATCTGAAACCTCTTTTTCCAAATTACTAAGAGAGTGATTAGTGATATGTACAGGGATGTTGTACTTTTTACTGAAGTCCCTAAGCTTCTTCCGAAGAATCGTCTCCTGTCCGAAGTAAGCTTCTTTCTATTCTTCTGTTATTGTGATCTGATTCTATGAGATGTTCTTGATTGTACCTTTGGAGAATCGCTAAGAGATTGTTTTGGCTTAAGATTAGAATACAAAGTTTCAATGATCATCATGTTCGTGAAAACTTTAATACGAAACAAGTCTATTGCATGATACATATGTATTAGACAAAACCATTAGCCAAATGAGGCATGAAACTAACTGAAACTTTTGAAACCTAAGAATGTATATTGTTTTAAAAGACAATCAATCACATTCTTGTACCCATATGATTCACATGTATTAGACGACATCATTAGACAAAAGAAGCAATCTCAAACTGAAACTTAAAAATCTAAGACCATACATTGTTTTAAAAGACAATCTGAAACATTTTTGTACCCATCTTCAATGCAATAAAATTCATTTGTGAAAAGGAGCATGTATTACAAACAAATCCTAAATCAGATATCTTTGCAACTTAAAATTATGAATTGAAATCGTAGAAACAGAAAGTTACTAACCTCTGTTTTACTGATAAATCAAGTCAATAACAAAGATCACTTCCTATTTTTCCCCTCTAAATTCTCGAAGACGTTTTTGAATAAAACAATTATTTAAACTAATATAAATTAAACACAGAAAATTATTTGAGCTGAAATATATTCCAACTTCTCTTTGTATATTTGTTTAGCTTCTGTTTCGTGTGGACAACAAAGATGGGCTCTTTAGTTAAACATTGTTAGATTAATGTTACTTTGGATTATATAGTCGGTGCATGTGATGAAGACAATTCTCATAATTTTTATACAATTAATTTTGCTTTGGATTATATTGTGGAAACACAATCTGAAGAAGACTGTTAAAAGTAGATAATCATACTTCCGTTAACAAACTGTGGTATATTCAACTTCTTTTTGTATATTTGTTTAGCTTATGTTTCATGTGGACAACAAAAATGGGCTCTTTAATTAGTTAAACATTGTTAAATTAATGTTACTTTTGATTATATAGTCGGTGCATGTGATGAATATATTGTTTTTATACAATTTAACGTGTACAAATCTGTGCATGTAATAAAAAATATAATATATGCTTTGTGCGTGTGATAAAAAACGATGGTTTACCATTTATATTAATAATTAAATATTTTGTGTTTTTCCATTTTTATAAAATAATTATTTAAACTAAAATAAAAACTCAAATTTTTTTTTGTCATGTCATAATCCATATGTGTAAGCAAATACCATGTCACAATTATATCAGCATTACACATCATCATTTCCATATCATAATTAATTAGATTAGATTGATGTTTTAAACCAATAAAACTAAAACAAATCAGCATATTTCATTAAACAACATTGTCAAAAATTAATAGATAGAGGATTTAAGACGTGGTTATATCATCAGTCCATGACCCAACAACTTGAGACCTTGCACATAAGAACCATACGAATGTACTTAAACCGATGATAAGCACATACGGAATCTGAGTCTTTAGCGAAGGTTAAAAGTTAACCATAAGAGCACGACTGAACGTATTTTTTTTTTTGGGCCAAACGATTGAACGTATATATATGATGTATTTTACTTGCATAATAAAAAACATTTGACTAGAGGTCAAGCAAATAAATGCAGTAACGATTAACAACAGCATAAACTAATCTGTGATGTGTCTTACCACAAGTTATCTTTGCACAAGTTGCAATAGATCTTTCTACGTTTGGTCGATTCCTGATCTTTTCCAATAGATCTAATTTCAGTCGTGCTGTTGTTAATCGTAGAGCTATAAAAATCACTTTAAAAATTCTCAAGAAACTACCTCTTGATCTTTCTACGTTTGGTCGATTCCCGATCTTTTCCAATAGATCTAAAAAGACCCCCGCCTGATTTTAAACTACAGCAGAAAAAAAAGTGATGTATAATTAAAAGGGTTCTTTTTATGTTATAATTAAAAGTGATGTATAATTAAAAAGTGATGTATAATTAACAAATACAGAATTACATCACTTTTTTTTTCTTTGAAAAAGGGTTTTCTTTATGTTTTATTTATGAAGTTTTTATATCTGACCAATAATATTCATACATTTTATCATTTTAGGAGGAATTCCTCTTTATAACCTAAAACTTGATTTTTTCTCATTATGTAGACCCTTTATTGAATGTTTGGCAAAACTAACCCAAAGAGGTAGTGAAATTACAGCTCAGTCCTTTGTGACTAAACAAAAAACGTCTGTCACAGTTATGATTTTATCCTTCGAGAAGTCTACGTAAGAAGTCTACAATCGTTATAGACTTCAAAAGAAGTCTACTACATAATTAGTTTTTTAAAAATTAATTAGAAAATATAAAATAAATAAATTTCTAAAAAATTGGTAAACATAAATAAGACATATATATTTGACATGTATAGAATACAAAATTTCATACAAATGAATCAACTTAAATGCAGAAAGAAAATGAACTAGAAAACATACAACTCCTTAGAAGTCTACTAAAGAAGTCTACTACAGAAAACATACGTATGCAGTAGACTTCTCGGGTAGACTTCTCCAGTAGACTTAAAAAAAACATAGCGGGAAATCAAAATTATTTAACAAATTGGGCGGGAATCGGAACAAATTAGGCGGGAATCGAAATCGAAAAAATATACCGAAGTAGACTTTTCGAGTAGACTTCTCCAGTAGACTTCTTAAGAAGTCTACGTAACCGAAAATTTTCCTACATATATAAGGAGATTAACCTAATTGGGTTAAAAATAAAGTTTTTCTCTCCCTTTAAAAAACGCCTCTCTCTCCTCTACCTCCTCTCTGGCCATGAATCTCTTCTCCTTCCTCTTTTGCCATCAAACCCATCTCTATCCTCCATCCTCTCTATCTCAATTATGGTGATGGTAAGCAAATCTGAGGTTTTGTGTTTCTTTTGTTGTTTGTTTTGTGTTCATATTGTAAATCTAGGTTTATTATTACATATTTGAGATTCTTGTTGTAGATCTGAGTTTATTCTTGCAAATATGCGCTGCTTATGGTATAAATTTTGTCGAATTTGTTGCAGATCTGATTTTTTTGTTGTTGCAGATCTGATTTTTTTTTTTTGTAGATCTGAATTTTTAGTTGCTGCAGATCTGATTTTGTT